CATCTATGCGAGCCGTATTTTATGGGCAGTTCTTACCCTAAGAAAACCTGTCATAACTATGAATGATTGATGTAATATTTTACACTATTGTCTATACTTTATTTACAAACCTCTCCTATTTTTGTCTCCTCCCTTTTGTCCCTTAATGGGACCATCGATGTGTCCTGTAAAAATATGTATAGACGATTTAGGATTTTCCTCCCTTCAATGGGAATATGGATGTACTGTATATAAATGTATAGCTGTATATTATCTATATTGTGCTTGTTTGTATTAGACCTGTTGGTCAATTCTATGCACTTAGCGCTATATATATACATATGTAATGTGACCTTACATTGAATCCTACTATCCTAAAAGGACGATCAAGACAATAGGATCGTATATATGTATTTTATGCAACTTATATACTTGTATCCCTCGGCTGGATGCCACTTGGATACAAGCAATTGACACTTTGTAATATACCCCTCCGATACCGGCAGACTGCGCACGCATGCGCACAGCACGGACCGAGTGCCGGCATCTGACGCATGCGCAGTAGTACCCGGTTCTATCTACGTAATTGAGGGTTTTCCCACGAATGAGTCACTCAAAGGGCGTTGCAAAACTGAGGTACAGCCCATCGGTGATGGGCGGTCTATAGTTTGGCGCCAAATGTGAGTGCTTTTAAGGGAGGGGACGGAGGAGAGGAACTTGCACACTACTCTACCCTTGAGAAAGGCGGATTTTACCGCCGAAACGCGCGTTGGGCTTCTGCTACAACTGTGGGGGGCCAGATTTGGGCGATTTGCCCTATACTGAATTATACTTTCACTACCTTCCCACCTTTATTTTTCGATCTCCTAACTCTATATCTCTCTGTCCTTTCGATTTAACCATTTGTTATTAGACTGGCTGAGGCCAATAGTCATATTTATACCTCACATTAGGACGCTATATTATACTTTATATTCCCAAACCTGATATGCAATAGTGGAGATTTTGTTTGTGTGTTTTTCTAGGACCGTAAGTGTAGATCTCACCTGTTTTGCTAGCACAATTATCTATGCACATTATTGCACTGGTGCCTATTACGAATAGTTTTTCTGCTACTTTTACACTGTTGCTACTTTTGTGGCAACGTAGTATCCAGGCACAGTATATAGTTATGTGCAGCCCAGAGTGACTCTCCAGGTCCTTTTTTATCCATTTGTAACAGTTGAGTGTATTACAGACTTTTATTATTATTTTTGGACTACATTAAAACTTTATTATTATTTTTTGTTTAATCTGTTTAATACACAGGAGTTAAGTGCACTCTTTATTGCTCCACAAGGGGTACTAGCTGTGAGTTGTTCTGTCTCCCATGTTTAAGGGATCCTTACTCCTCACCTTCTTTTTGTTTAATTATTGTTATAAGGGTTAGGCCCTTTTTAGTACCCCTGTAATCCATCTTGGTGTATCTTTTTTGCTGAATTTGTCAGCTAAAGGAACACTGTATCTATATTTATATTTATATATAATATAAAAAAATGTAAATACGTAAAAAAAATAAAATTAAAAAAATAATTAAAAATAAATAATAAAAAAATATATAGATGTTTGTTATTTCGTTCTAACTGTATTGTGATATTAATATATATATATTTATATCAAAATACACGTAGAACGAAATAATATATATATCTATATACATAAATATATACATATATATCACTAAATATATACACCTATATATAAATAAAAATATTTTAAAAAATTATATATATATATGTATATATACACATATGTATATATATACATATATTAATTCTACACATATATTTATGTAATATTTTTACATAATTAGGTATCCTAATTAATTACAATTAGCGGGACCTGCCTGACAACCCATGCCGAAAGTATAGGGAATTTAATTTGCTAGCACTATATTTAACCCTATAACTTTCCAAGACACCATAAAACCTGTAAATTGGGGGTACTGTTTTACTCGGGAGACTTCGCTGAACACAAATATTAGTGTTTAAAAACGGTAAAATGTATTACAACAATGATATCGCCAGTAAAAGTGAAGTTTTTTGCATTTTTCACGCACAAACAGCACTTACACGGATGATATTATTGCTGCAATACTTTTTACTGTTTTGAAACACAAATATTTGTGTTCAGCGAAGTACAACAGTACCCCTCATGTACAGGTTTTATGGTGTTTTCAAAAGTTACAGCGTCAAATATAAGGCTTGTGTTTCATTTTTTTCACATTAAAATTCGCCAGATTGGTTACGTTGCCTTTGAGACCCTATGGTAGCCCAAGAATGAAAATTACCCCTATGATGGCATACCATTTGCAATAGTAGACAACCCAAGGTATTGCAAACGGGTATGTCCAGTCTTTTTTAGTAGCCACTTAGTCACAAACACTGGCCAAAATTGGCATTTTTTGCATTTTTCACACACAAACAAATACTAACGCTAACTTTGGCCAGTGTTTGTGACCAAATGGCTACTAAAAAAGACTGGACATACCCCATTTGCAATACCTTGGGTTGTCTACTATTGCAAATGGTATGCCATTATGGGTGTAAATTTCATTCCCGGGCTACTATACAGTCTCAAAGGCAGCGTAACCAATCTGGCGAATTTCAATTTCAAATGTAACGTGCTATATTTGACCCTGTAACTTCCCAAAACGCCATAAAACCTGTACATAGGGGTACTGTTTTACACGTGAGACTTTGCTGAATACAAATATGTGTATTTTATTGCAGTAAAAGCAAACAGTATTATGACATTGACCGTTAAAATGTCATGTAGAACTAAAAAAATAAAAAAAATCTTATTTTCTCCCATTTTTTTCATATTAAATTATGTTTCATAGCTAAATATTTGATATTAAATGAAAGCCCTGTTTCCCCTGAATAAAATGATATATAATAAGGGTGGGTGCATTTACTATGAAAGAGGTGTATTACGGTTGGACAGACATGTAGCGCAAATGCCAGGTTTTGTTTACATTTTGTTTCGTTCACACTGTGTACATTTGGCTCCGTCCTTAAGGGGTTAAATATTTTTTAAAAATATAAACATCCCTTTTTATGAACATTTTTAAGAGTTATCATTTACCTTGCAACCTTTTCTTTATTTACTCCCTTTTGTGTTATTATTAATTTCAACTTGAGAGGTGTGAAAACATCTTCCCTTAATACCGAGAACGTGCACAAAATATATTTTGTTTTTGTAAAGCTGTGCTTTAATTCGTGG